CAGGAGGATTGCTATGAGTTCGAAACCACCTGGGGCTACATAGTGAGTTCCAGGTCAGTCTCAACTACATAGTTGAGACTCTGTCTCAAAAAAAAAAAAAAAAAAAAAAAAAAAAAAAGAGAGAGAGAGAAAAGAAAGGAGAGGCGGTGAACCTCGCATTTCTCTACAGAATGGAGTTGTGTCAAGAGGCCCTCTGGGCACTGCAGGGCACAAGTCTACATTACCCCATGCATTGTGCTCCCTTCAGCAGCACATATACATTATCCAACACCTTGAGTTCCTTCTCAGAGTGCAGAGATATATGACATTTATAGCAGAACACAAGGACGGGCCCTAGCGTGAAGTTGAGGACAGAACAGTTGGGATAAGATCGAAGAGGAGAAGAAAATACTTCTGTGAGTGATGACCGTCTGACATTTAGGTTTATTCACAAGGATCTGCCTTGTAACCCAGGTATTGTGGAAGAGTTAGATGTAACAAGTGCTTTATCTAAGGGGAGAATGCTCTTGTTTTCCAATCAAGACAAGTAGTTGGGACAATAGGACCGTCAGCTTCATCATTAACAGGCAAGGTAAAGATTCTGATTCATCAGGTGGTGGGAATCATCAAGTACCAGAGTGCCCACAGAGGGTCTGGATTGGGTTTTGATATAGGTCTGTGGAAGGAGTAGCATTTAAATAGCCTGGAGGGGTGAGGAAAGCACTGCAGACTGTGAAATGTGATTAGGGGAGATGTAGGAGCACTGACACCTGAGCTCACGCAGAGGCCCAAGGTGACTCCTGATCAGGCAGATATGAATCCATCAGGGAAGGATCCTCTTAGGTGTGAAGGACTTTGAAGATGGGGTTTGGTGTGGTTTTGCACATGACTAAGATGTTTCTACTTTATGAATATGCATGGACTACTGGAGAGCCTATAGACAGTGCCATCCCAGAATTATCTGGCCCCATTGCAGTGAGAAACATAGCCTGCCCTTAATCAGCTATGTAATTTGGGGCAAATACCTATTTCTGAGCCTCACATCTGTAAAACAGTCACTATTTCACATACTTATTGTGGACAATATATATTAGTGTTTTCAAGAGCCGGGCACATAGTAGGGTGTCCATTTGTAGTAACAATTTTCATGATTTCATTGCTGTTCCAACACCCTGAGCTTGCCTTACTCCTAGTTGCTCCTCTACATTTCTGTATTGAGGACTCTGGAGCAATACAAGTAAATTTGTTCAGAGACTGTCTTAACTCTGAGATTCTGTCTTTACAAACCAATGAGTGGTAGTGAGACCAGCCTGTCACTCTTTGTGACTTTGCTTTTGTGCCTCAGGCTGTGTGACACATTCCCCCACAAAGAATCATTTCTGCTTTGTCTTTTTTTTTTTTTTTTTTTTTTTTTTTGTTTT